AGGGTTAGAGTGACAGGCCTGTCCAACTCTTCAAATTTTCTAACCCCATGTACATAACTGCATGACATATCCAGCACTTGCTCAATTTCTCCCATCCTTTCATCTTCACTATTTTCTACGTCCCCAATCAATACTCGCTCAACAGGATCTGCAGGGCTCATATAGGGTACTAACAATGTGGCATCACCTTCCACCACAGAGATCATGGATAACTCTTCATAATGGGCTGGTAACTTGAGTGCTCTATAAACATTGAAGACCTCCACCCGGTCACCCACTCTCATCGTCGTCTTTCCTTCACAAACATCAATAATAGCTCGGCCCGTGGCTAAGAATGGACGCCCCAAAATAAATGGGACTTCCTGATCAGGCTCGTAATCCAGGATGATGAAATCAGCTGGGAATATGAAAGACCCCACTTGCACTAGCACATCTTCAATCACTCCCTCAGGATGAGCAAGGGAGCGGTCAGCTAACTGTAAGATAACTGTTGTTGGGCATGGTTCACCCAACCCCAACTGTCTGAATATAGATAGCGACATCAAAATTGATGCTTGCTCCAAGGTCATATAGAGCTCGCCCAACAGCATGTTTACCAATCGTGATCTGGATAGTGAAACTACCTGGATCCTTCAATTTCTGAGGTAACTCTCCTTGAATTCTGGAACTGCACTCCTCAGCGAGTGCCACAGTCTCGAACTCGGTCAGCCTCCTTTTATTTGCCACAATGTCCTTGATGTATTTTGCATATTTAGGTACTTCTTGTAAGATGTCAACCAATGGAATATTAATTTGTACCTGCTTCAAGATATCAAGAAACTTTTTATATGTGGCATTATCTCGTAATTTCTGCAGTCTTTGAGGGAATGGAGGTGGTGGCCTTGCAACCAATTGTGGGGATTGCTCAGCCACCGCCTCTCTAGCTGGCTTCTCTGGCTCCTTGGCTTTCTCTGATGTTGATTCTACAACCGCTGGCATCTCATTAAAAGTTATCTGTTTCCTCTTTTTAGATAGAACTTCCTCTAGTTGTCTCCCATTCCTCAACGATACGGCATTAAGGGTCGCACTAGGATTGGTTTCAGCGTCACTTGGAAGAGCTCCAACTGGTCTAGTGTTTTGAGCACTAGCAAGCTGTCCCATTTGACGCTCCAAATTTCTCACTGTTGTGGAGAGGGCTTGCTGTTCAGCCATCATCTTTCTAAACATGTCTTCAAGGTGACTTGTAGGATTCGCTTTGTTGTTCAACCTGAGGTGGTCTATATTGCTGTTGAGGTGCTTGAGGCCTGTATTGATTCTGAGTGCCCTGATTTCCACCCCAAGAGAAGTTTGGGTGGTTCCTCTAGTTGGGATTGTAAGTGTTCCCATATTGGTTTGTTTGGCCCCTATTTGAATTACCCACAAAGCAGACAGACTCTGGGTTTGCGGGGCATATGTCGCTCGTGTGCCCCTCTCCACATATTTCACAAAAAGCTTAAACCTATTGTACCGGTTGTATTTATTGCTTGTTGATGCTCAAGTTCATCTGGTTAACTTGATTGGCCAGTGTAGTAATCTGCGCTGATAATGCTGAGACGACATCTAACTCAAGAACCCCTGCAGACTTTTGCACTGTGTGTCTGCCCATCTCTCCTTGCCAATCCGGATTGCTCTTAGAAAATTTGTTCAACAATGCATATATCTCGTCAAAGCTTTTCTCCAACACTTGACCCCCAGCTGCAGCATCTACCATGATCTTTGTTTCAGAATGTAGCCCTTCTATGAAAGTGTGAGCTAACACTTCATTCGTCTGATTGTGATGGGGACAGTCTCTGAGTAGCCCCTTGAACCTTTCCCAAGCTGAGTATAAAGATTCTCCTGCTTTCTGCTTGAAGGCCACTATTTCACTTCTGATCTTTGCAGTTTTGCCTGAAGGAAAGAACCTTGCCATAAATTTTCTTGCCAAATCATTCCATGATGTAATGGAGTTAGCTGGTTCTGCCTTTAGCCATCGCTTAGCCTCACCCAACAGAGAGAATGGAAAAAGTGTGAGCCTCACATAATCTGGAGTGACCCCGTTAGTGATATAAGTATCACTAATCTCCAAGAAGTTCAGAATATGCTGCTGCGGATCCTCATGTGGAAGACCCATAAATTGCCCGTTTGCATGAAGCAGCTGGATCATGCTCTATTTCAGCTCAAAGTGCCCAGTGATCCTGGGCTTCACTATACTGGAGGTGACATTAGCAATGCTGGGCATTGCCACCTCCTAAACAGCCATGGGTTGCTCCTCTGCCATGTCCACAGGAAATTGAACAAGTGCCTGAGTATTATTCGTGTCCCTTGCTTCTCTCAACCTCCTGTGAAATGTTCTCTCAGGTTCAGGATCAAAGCCTTGAAGACGGTCCTGGCTTCTGACCCTACGCATTCAATCAAAATTCCTAAGATCTGAGCAACAATCAAGTAACGTTAGAGTAGACAAAATAAGCAATTAAAGCAAAAACTAGCAAGTAGCTAATATTCAAGTCCCCGGCAACGGAGCCAAAAACTTGTTGCTCCCAAACGCACACGCAAGTATATGTGGTCGACAAGTAATATAATGATAAGTTGAGTGTCGAACCCACAGAGACTTGTGTAAACTACTCACGTAATTACTAAAATTGTTATTCAGTCCAGCTAAAATCAAAGTCCAATAATGTGATTATATTATACTACGATTCTAAGTAATAACTAAATTATCAAGTAACGAATTGATTGTTGTGTATTCAGTAGAGATAAGTATTCCAGGGTTGTGATCTATTCACCATTCGTATTGTGTTCTAATTAACTCTCCCTTTCATATAATTCACTCATGGTTGCTAATTAATCGATAAATGCTCTCATAGCCTTCTCCCGAAGTACTACTCACCTATTCTCAATAGATTAACGCCTATATTCCTATGAAATCAATCTATTAAGAACGCATTAAGATTATGATATTTAATTAAGCACGGTGACTAGGTATATTCCTATCCTAACCACAAATTTGCTCCCCCTAAGGGTTAAGATCATGCTCTCTTCAATTCTTCTCTAATCTAAACATGGCTTTCCCAAGCATAGCATAGATAGTAAATAGAACCTAACTGTTGGCCAGACAATTAAGCAATTAAACACAGAATTGAAGAAACAAACCATATATTGGTGAATTATAATCAAGGTCAAGCTAATATCAAACAACAATATTCATGGCTAAATCACAACCCCAGAACAATGGGTGTTTAGCCACTCATACTAGTGTTCATCACAATAAGGTTCAATTTCATCACAATTAGCAAAAACCAAGGGAAGAAAAGAAGAACTTGATGATCAAAATCTCTGCCTTGCCTCTTGCCTCTCTATTCCTTCACTAGATTATGAAAACCTTGATAAATAATCCTTGGGCGAGCTTGACTTTATATAAATTAAGTGGGGTTTCCTCTAGATTTCCAATTATACCCCTGACAAACACTTTCCGGAACTTGGACTAGCGCGGTCGCGCACCTGAGCGCGCATCTGACCGGGTAGTTGGACAACGTACTATTTTGAATGCGCTAAAATTAGCGCGGGCGCGCATCTGGGCGCACTAGCCCAGCACTTTGTTTCCTCACTTCTTTTTCTCGTCTTCAAGTGTACTCATCACCGAAGGGTCTTTCCTGCTCCAAAATAGTTTCAATCACAACTTTAAGGCATCACGTAGGCTCCTCATCCTGCAATGTATATAATTCATAATTAGAGCCTATTTTTCATCAATTAACCATATTATGACATTGGAATTTAACTAAGCGGGAGCATAAACAATCGCCAAATTACCTAGATTTAGCCTATTATCAAGTTCCACAACTTGTTGGTCTGATGAATGGTTATGAATTTTGGCGTGTTTCTTTCATCATTGGCAGTATATGCAGGTGTTAGAATGAGGCTTTGTTTGATAAGAGGTTTATTACCGGTATTGGGTTGTTTCGAGCAGCGACTGTGATTAGAAATTATCGCTATAAATGTTTGAGTTATGTGGTATATCATGTGATTTTATCTTGGGTTATGACTATGGCTTATCACAACTTGTTCAGACTTATATAGTGTGAAGATGCGAGATTCTAGCCTTATAGAAAATTTCGGATGTGGAAATTGGATTCTAAGGCTTATGGGCTAGGTTGGATTAAGAAATTTTAGTCATGTTGTGTTATCGGACTTATATGGGATAGGGTGATGTGGGATCACCCCTGGGTATATGCATGGTGAGGTTACACGGCGATTCGATGGCGTTTGGAACAACTCTTGGCACGTTCGAGGACAAACGTATGTTTAAGTGGGGGAGGATGTAACGACCCGACCGGTCGTTTTGAGCATTTTCACTTCGTTCGGTTGTTTAAGGGCATGAGTAGCTCCGTATGATGTATTATGACTTATGTGAATCGTCGGTTTAGGTTTACAGGTTATCCAGAATCGATTTGGAAGGATAATTCTCAACTTGAAGCTTTAAATTTGAAAGGTTTGACCAACTTTTGACTTTTTAGTATTTGACCTCGGAAAGATTTCTGATGGTTCCATTAGCTCCATTGGGTGATTTTGTACTTAGGAGTGCGTCCGGATCGTGATTTGGAGGTCCGTGGTAGAATTTGGCTTGAAATGGCGAAAGTTGGAATTTTGGAAAGTTTGACCGGGAGTGGACTTTTAATATCGGGGTCGGATTCCGATTTCAGAAGTTGGAGCAGGTCTATAATGTCATATGTGACTTATGTGCAAAATTTGAGGTCAATCGGACTTGATTTGTTAGGTTTCGGCATCGGTTGTGGAAGTTGAAGTTTCAAAGTTCAATGATTCCGAATTGAGGTGTCATTCATTGTTTTAATGTTGCTTTGAGTGATTCGAAGGTTCGACTAAGTTCGTATGGAGTTATATGACTTTTTGGCATGTTTGGTTCAGGTCCCGAGGGACTCGGGTGTGTTTCGGGTGGTTATCGGATCAAGTTTGAAGTTTGGCTCATTGCTGAAGTTGGTTTGTTGCTGGTGTAATCGCACCTGCGAGGCTATTACCGTAGGTGCGGCGCTGCAGTTGCGGTGGGAAGGACGCATGTGCGAATGTGTGTTGGATTGGGGAAGACCGCAGGTGCGAGGTCTTTTCCACACATGTGAGGTCGCAGAAGCGGATAAGGAGCGCATGTGTGGAGATGCGTATTTAAGTGGGTTCCGCAGAAGCGGAGAATTTGTCGTAGAAGCGGCTAATGTGTCCGCAGATGCGGAAATGCTGGACAGAATGTTAAATACAAGGGTTCGTGATTTTGGCTTCATTTTAACATTTCCAAGTGCGGATTGGGGCCTGAGCAATTTTCATCACAAGGATTGAGGTAAGTGTTCTACACTCGGTCTAGGTTATATTTCATGAATCTATTTTCGATTTTAGCTTTTGGTTGGTGAATTGAAAGAGGAAATTGGGGGTTTTGGCCTAAAGTTTCATAATATGAATTTTTGAGTTTTGAACACCGATTTGGAGTCGGATTTGAGTGAAACTAGTATTGTTGGACTCGTAATTGAATGGGTTGTCGGATTTTGTGAGTTTTATCGAGTTTCGAGGCGTGGGCCCAGGTGTGTTTTTGGGCCGGATTTGGGATTTGACTTCGGATTCAATATTTATCAATATTTGAGTTGTTTTGGCTAGTGTTGAGCTGTTCGGAGGTCGCTACGCGCGTGATGGCATTCTTGGAGCATCGCTAGGCTTGCTCGGCGATGGAATTGGCTGGTTTAAGATAAATAACTCTTTTAAACATAGTGCTGAGGGTATGAAATCCCGAATTATGTGCTATGTGATTGGTGTTGAGGTGATGCACATGCTAGGTGACGGGCGTGTGGGCGCGCACCCTGTGAATTGGGACTCTGTTGTTCCCAGGGCACTAAATAGTGACCCTATTCTTGTTGATATTTGTATTTTCACCATGTGATTAAGTATCTGAGTTGTCAAATCATGCTAGATATCATGCTTAGGCTTTATGCTATTATTGTTGGGACCCATAGTGGTCGTTTCTTGCTGTCATCTCATTGAATTCATTGATATTTCGTACTCAGTCATATTCATGCATTCATATCATATCTTAGTCTCAATTGTTACTTATTGATACATCATATCATTGTTCCGGGTCATTTTTCATGACATTGTGAGCCCGTGAGTGAGACTGGAGAGATTGATAACTGAGTGAGGCCAAG